AAAAAAAAAAAAAAAAAAAAAAATCAATGATGAGGCAATCAGGGGCATGTGAGCACTGACTAGATATACGGTATTAATGAATTTCATTTTTCTAGGCGGGTTAGGTTTATTTTAAGCTGTTTTTTGTAATCCTTACCTTTTAGAGGATTTTAAAAATACTACTGAAGTGACAGGATGTCTGGATTTTGAATCTAAATAACCCAAGTACAAAGGGAAATGGAAAAGGATGAAGAATTAAGGGTATAGGAACTGGCAGAGTCCCTTATACCTGAAGCCACATAATGGGTACACGAAATGATTCTCTTGGGTATGTATTCAGAATTTTCCATACCAAGTGCGATAATTCTATATTCCTACTGCCTCTCTAACTAGACGGGAAACATGAGTGTTTTCTACCAAGGTAAGTGCAAACCGAAGTACAAACACTGTGCCAAGACACAGGGAGTCAGAGCTCTCAGGGAGCCATTAAAAGAATTAAACCATTAACAGTAAGGGCACAGAATGAGCAGGCATCTAGAGTTATGCTTAATATACTTTACTAAGATAAAAAGAAACATGAATTCTGAAATGCTCTGCCAACTGCAAACAAGCACCAACAGACAGAACGTGGAGCGACCAGAACTGGCACATTTTCAGGTTGCTGCACGACAGTCCTGGAGCACTCGGGCTTTCCTGAAAAGATTCCAGGGCCTAACCCCCGGAATCTCTGATTCAGGGTATCTGGAGGCCTCCATAAAATCTATACCAGGAGGGGGGGAAAAAACGCTGAAAAATTCTGATGTACAACCAACACCGAAAATCACTGCCTTGAGAAGTAAGTATGCAGATGGGTTTTCGGAATGCATGTTGTAAGATAGGATATAATATATTCACTCTTCATTTAGCATCATTAGGGTGACAAAATTCATCACATTATTCATATTTACTTAATAATGACTATTTCAAAAAGAAAAAAAAACAAAAACCTAAAACAAAAGGTTTCAGAGTAAGCTGGGGAACAGAACACTTACAAATTAGAGACAATCATTTTTCACTAGTACAGATTAAAACATTCCCATGAGAAAATCCAGATCCCCACCCCCCCCCCCCCCCCCCACCCCACTCCTCCTTCTAAAGAAACTTTGGTGAAATGAGTAAACTCCTAAGTAACAACTTATCAGCCAAAAGTCACAATGAAATTGGGAGTTTCTGGAGTGTCACCTCTGGGGGCATTGATGACTTGTCTCGCTAATAGCAAAACAACAATAGAGTGACTCCAGGGAGCAACAAAATTGTGTAACGAGGCTACTTACTTCTATTTCATATTTTCAGACCCACACCAAAACAATGTGCACTTCAATGGTTTTCCTAAACGGAGACCCTGACAAGGTAAACTGGCCACTTACAAAAAAATGAGAGTACTGCTAGAAAATTTCCTGAAGGTTAGAGGAAGCAGTCATCCAAGGTCTCAAAGTTAATCGGACTTGGCAACTTTTGGTTACTCATTCACTAAGAATTCCCTGAAAACCTCTCAAATTTAGTAACCCTATAATCCCGAGTACAGTGTAAGAAGCTCCAAAACCCATTTCAATCACAGAACTGTGTCCAAAGGCGCTATCGAAGGATTAGCGCACACAAAAGACAGAGTTACAAGAGAATAATAAATGAGGATGACTGACGTGGAAGCCCATGCTACACTGTATTATGGACGAGACAAGCTACTTGTAAATGAGAGGCACAGCTTTATGGAAGAGGTTGTCACGGGGAGGAGTAGGAAGGGTGAAGAGAGACTATGGCCCTAAAGTGCTATGTAAAGATTTTCTAAAGCATTCTTCCTTGCTGCTTCTCAATTTTGGCTCACAAAGATTTTCTTCCACTGGATTTTAAAATACGCAGGCTGGTATTCCCATGGCTAACTAATATATAGATACCTCTTCTGTTTTGGTTTTCTTGGGGCTCTCTTCTTTATGAGGTGAGGATGTCCTCTTGACTCCTACTATAGGATTAGGTATTTTTGTTGCTGCATTTCCTGAAGGTCTAGGTGGTGGGTTTACCAGACGTGTTGAAGAAACAACTCTGGAGACCGTAGGCTTTGGTGGTGGTGAAATGGCTGGCTGTGTGGCAGTTTGAGGAATGCTTTCACTCGATGTACCTAAGAAGGTCAAGTACATGAACACACAAAAATTACAATAAATCATATTAACAGCAAGGTACAAGTAAAGCTTTATTTAGGTCTCTGAATTTTATTTCACTGATACGACAGTGTCAAACAACTGAATTCAGGCAACTTAATCAACAAATAAAGCCATCTTGCAAAACGAAGGATAAAACCAAATACAGTGTAAATATTCTCAAGCCTGTCAACCCCATCACCTTACCCCCTGAGCTTTCACTGGAATTTACTTGTGGCACAGAAACTTCAGTAGCCTGTATGTTGGTCACAGATGCTGCTGTTACAGCTGGAGCAGGACTGTTTCTGCTAAAAGAAAGAAAAGAAAGAAAAGAAAGAAAAGAAAGAAAAGAAAAGAAAAGAAAAGAAAAGAAAAGAAAAGAAAGAAAGAAAGAAAAACAAAACAGTGAAATATAAAATAAAATTCTATAACAAAATTTAATATGCGAAGTTATTTTCTAAAGGAAATGATTCTTTAGTTTTACTTCTACATATACATCAGTAACTGACTTTGATAAAATGTAGCCAACAACCAAAAGCACACAGACATTCTAGAGCAGTGCTGTCCCACAGAACTCTTAGAGCTGTGCTGTCCATTACGGGAATCACTGTTCACATGTAGCTACTCTGCACTTGAAACATGGCTGGCAAAACAAGGAATAATTTTATATGATTTTAATAAATTTAAATCTCTACTTGTGGCTAGTGACTAGCATATTAGATAGGACAGTTCTTTTTTTAATGTTTATTTTTGAGAGAGACAGAGAGAGAGCACGCGAGAGCAAGAGTGGGGGAGGGGCAGAGAGAGGAGACACAGAATCCAAAGCAGGCTCCAGGCCCCAAGCTGCCAGTACAGAAC